TCTTTGCTGCATACACGACAATAAAAAAAAAAGGAAGATTTTCAAGCTTACCATTCAATTCTGTGTTTTTTACTTGCCTAACACCTAAACTGCTGTTTTTTTTTTGTTTTTTTTTAATTGGTTTCTCCTCTTTTCTTTCTTTGCTTTGTTTTTTTTTTTACATAAATGCCACTTTGTCCATGCATGAAAGGGTAAAAAGTTGTTTTGGTGATATAATGTGGTGTTGAACTTATCCTATCTGATGAACATATGGAAGATTTTGCTTGGTATTTAGTAGTTAACCTTTCACATATTCAAACGTAGAGCCTTGCGAAATTGGTTTATGCTAATATTATCCTACTTCTGTTTTGGATTATTTATTATTGGAACCCTTTTGAGCTTTCTTTCTACGACCAACATATTAATTTTTTCTCTTGATTGCTTTGTATGCTGAACACTTTTATTCGTTCGACAATTTGGTCATTTATCAATTGTTTTGTTTTCGTTGGCATTGACAAGCACTGCGTCTACTGATCCAATGATTCATACTTTGAAAACCAGAAAGTCATCAAACTTGTCTATTTTTTTTCTGAAGTTGTGATTAAATTTTGCCATCTTATCTACTAAGTTTATTTCTCGTTGGATGATTTGAAAGTTGATTTGGGCCAAACTTGAGCACTGTTTTGGAAATATTAAAAACCCAATTTTGACACTGTTTTGACACTGTTTTGGGGTGTTTCGTGGGCTGATTTTGTAGCGGTTTTAGCACCGTATTGACACTGTTTTGGCACTGCTTTGGGGTGCTTTTGGTGACTGATTTGGGGCAATTTATTCACAGTTTTGTGGTGCTTTTGTGGGCTGATTTTGGAGCAGTTTGGATACTATTTTGGGTATTTCTAACACTGCTTTGTGTTTTTGCCCCTCGCCCCTTTTTGCTTTGAGTTTTGGAAGCGGGTTGATTTCTTTTCCTCTCCTTTTATTTTGTTTTGATTTCTCTTTCTTGCTTAATGGTTAAGTCATAAAGATGAGGATTGATAATTTAATTAATTGAAAGATATTGAAAACCTTAAATCACCTTAAGCATAAGTTAAAGAGTAGGTTTCCTAGAGTTTTAGGAGTACACACCCTAGGTGAGAATCCATCCACCTAGTCCTCAGTGTAGACCTCCTAGACTTTAGGTGCACACCCTAGGTGAGAACCCATCCATCTAATCCTCAGCATAGTCTTCCTAGAGTTTTAGGAGCACACCCTAGGTGAGAATCCATCCATCTAATCCTCAGTGTAGACCTCCTAAATTTTAAGTGCACCCCCTAGGTGAGAACCCATTCACCTAATCCTCAGCATAGTCTTCCTAGATTTTAGGAGCACACCCTAGGTGAGAGCCCATCCACCTAATTCTCGGCATAGACTTCCTAGATTTTAAGAGCACACCTGAGGTGAGAGCTCATCCACTTAAATCTCAGCATAGACTTCCTAGATTTTAGGAACATACCATAGGTGAGAGTCCCTCCACCTAATTCTCAGCACAGACTTCCTAGATTTTAGGAGCACACCCTAGGTGAGCGTTCATTCACCTATTTTTCGAATAAATAATGAAACTTGACACTTTACCCTGATTCACAAACTGATCAAGACACTAGACACCAGGATGTACCGAGATGTAGTTCATGTTTCCTTAATTAAATCAACAGTGAAATTCCCTAAATGACTTAACCTACAATAAAACCCAATGCAACGGGATTTGAGCTTGAATATTACCCTCAAATTCTTCTGGCAATTGGGGAAATTTGTTAACGCCACATATGGATCATCAGACTAGAATGAGTCTAGGGTCTAAGTGGCGAGGGCGATGACGACATTGCTTATGTGTGCTTAAACGAGATATACGAGGTGAGATTATTAGAATAGTATCTCCTACCTCAAGGATTTTCTATAAAAGAGAGGAAATGATCGAGGATGCTATTCGCCGACCCTTGGTGGGATTGTTGCCCCGACACTCTTAGGTTGTCAGTAGTTCTAGCACGATTAGAATGACTAACCTGTGGACTACACGACTTTACAAAAATATTTACAAAAATAAAATAAAAATCCCTTTTGCATGTTAAAAAGAACCCTGCATATAAAAGACTTAAACAACAGCTTTTGCATGAAAATCAAATAATTTTTCTATAAAAATTTATAAAAGTCCATGGTTAGTCATTTGGATTGAGGTTAAGAACTACCTCCTGTAGATTGTCGAGTTGACAACTCTTACTCAAGGTCGGGAAATACACAACCCAGCTCTGAGCCTCCACTTTTACGAATGTCTTATACTCAGTCATGAACTTTCATATGTGGCTAAGTGTTTCTTTTGCTCGTGATTTTTACAATTCATTTTTCTGACTTCGCGTTGGATTTTCTCGTCTTATTTAATTTTCTTACAAATTTATTTAAATCTGCTGCAAATCATACTATGCTCGCAACATTAATAACACAATAGTAACAGATGTCCAAGTACGCTTTTACAGTTTATCTACAGCATTTTACCTTTCAAGTACTTTTTTTTTACCTGCAATTTGATTATTCTGCATGCAAAACCAGAACTGAAAATAAAACCAAAACCAAACATTGATATCAAAACTGTGAAGCACAAATCATCAATCTCAAACTCTTAAACCCTGGAGCCATCACTACAGCAGGAGTTTCAGAGCTAAATTCGTGGGCAACACGGCGAGGAATTCAGACCGAGCGGCAAGAGGACCTTCTTCAGCATTATCTCTTCCTTAGCATAATAACAACCCATAGAACTTTGAGGTAGCTCGCCTAGAACGACGTAAATCCTCACTCTCTTTTAGGCCCCTGCACAATCATGTTGTGCAGCATAAGTCTTAACTCGCTTTAGGTTTCGAGGTTGTTGTGTGATACGACGTAAACCTTCCTTTCTCTGTGGGCTATTTGCATAATCGAGTATTATGCAAATGTAAGTCCCAAATAATAAAATTGGCAGGATTGAATAATTAAATAACATCATTTCTAAAAAAGCAGCCACACAGTAGGATAGTTTGGGAAGTCACTGAGGTTTCTCCTCAGGATCTATGACATCCCCTACCTGTTCCTTCCTTTGGACTCTTGAAAATAAGTGTTCCGCATTGAGCTATTTCCATTTGATTTTCCTCATCCTACCTTGAAAACCTGAACATTGAATTCTTGAAGACTAGAACCATTGATCATTATCGAGAGTTTTCTCAAGTGACTCCCGTCATTTGGGATGTAATTAACTATAGGGGCTTGCCTCTATAGGGAACTTGGAACCCAGGTAAAATAAACCCTATTTAATCTTTGTATTAAATAGGGGAATTTGTCGGTCATATATAAAAGATATCAATCCTACGAGAAAGGTTTAAATTTAAAATGATAACTTAACTAGGAAATTCACAGAAATCAAACAAAATTATTGTCACTAATTTTTAATGTGTAAGATACTATCAAGACTAAATTATTAACTACTGGCAAAATTTAAATGCAAAGCTTAAAAAAGTAACTATTAAACTATGTATATGTGATCAAGTTTTCTAATATAAAAAAGGATCTTTCCCACTACAATGAGCTTTTTGGTGAAATGAGATGAGATAAATGGTTTAAATTGGTATTGTATCAAATTGGAGCAATTGTAAGTCTCTACCCTGATTCAGTGTTATAGAAAATCATTGGTTAATCTTAGGTTTAGTCCCTAAATCCGTGGCTAGGCTAAGAGATATTGGCTCCCACTTGAGAGCTCCCACTTCCCTTTCCCTGAAGGCTGACTCTCGCTTTAGTTTTTAAACACTAAGGCCGAATTATGGATTTTAGTCCGTCACCCTAAAGATTCTCCAATTCTACACCCAACAAAGTATATTTCTCTATTTATTTGCACTTAATTCCATGAACGAAGTGCTCCTTCATGGAATCAAATGTGATCCTCACTCTGTTGTAGAACACATATTTCATTGCCCGGATCATATGTATCACAACATATTTTAACAATTCAATTGACCAGATCGAAAAGTAAATTAAGTTCGGAGTTGAAAAATCATTATAATTTATTTTATATTTTAATATTAGCACATCTATATTATCTTTTCATTTCATCATAACTTAGAGTAGGGAGAAAGATAAAGTAAATTACTCAGACTTCATGAGAAAGATACAACAAAACACAAATTTCATATATAAAAGAAAGTTCATATAACACTAATAAACAAACAACATTTATTTGAAACTCTTTCTCAAAGCAAATCCCTTGTAGCCTCTTCTAGGAAATGAAGGAAGAAGAAATCTCTAACTTTTCTCCTTCTTCAACACTCTTAGAGAAGAATTCACACTTAATCTCACAACAATACTCTAAATTATAAGAACAATGGACTCTAAATGGTTGTGGAATGAAAATGGAGGAATGTGTGATGCGTAGAGGGTTGAATTGGGCGATGAAATGTCAGGAAGAGTCACTTTTTTTATCAATTTCGGCCCCAAATAAAGCCTAGAGCCGGTTCTTCAATATGTGCCTCCAAAAACTCTTCAAAAAGCATCCATATTCATCGAATATTCTAGAAACAGGTGCTGAACTGACATTGGTGTCGTCGGCGCCCATTCTGGCGCCAGCGTTCCGCTATTTAAGTTAATGCTCTCTGTCAAACGGCGTCGTCGGCGCAGAATAAATTTTCGACTTCTTCATTTTTGCTCCAAATTTCATCATTTTTGCTCCAAATTTCATCATTTTTGCTTCTTTTTGCTTCAAGTCCTAAAATTTAACAACCTGCAAGAAAACATAAAAATACGTTCCATTAAAGTGCAATATCACAAAAAATGAGTATAAATTATGGGTCTAAAAATGCATATTTTTTTTTGTGTATCAATGCCCTGTATTTGATGAGATTTAACTAGTATTGATTCTTTTTTCATCCAGAATTATTTCACTAAATCTGTAAATTCAGTACTTTTTCTTTTTAATTTTTCATATTTTGATGCTATCAACACTGCCAGTTGACACTTCTGATAAATGAAAGCAGGATTATTTTACTGATGAAATTGGCGTTTTATCACCCAATCAGTTGCAAGTTGATGAACTTTATGCCGGTGAGGCAAGTTTTCTCACTGTTTACTCAGTTGTTTACTTGAATTCTTTCTTCCAGAAATCTTAAGTATCAATATATCTTCATTGAACTTCTCATCATCTTGGCCAAAATATTTCTGCACTGCTCCCACAGAGTGTACTAAAGGTTTTTTGCAAAATTCTCTATAATTTTGCGAAAATTTCATGAATGTTTGTTCTCTCAGTATTTTGGCTACTTAATAGTTGACTATCATTTGCTCTAAATATGCTCTCTAGACTTCTACTCTGAGCTCTCTCCTATTGTATAAATTCATATGCTTTGCATTTAAATTGGTTTCTTATTTAATATTTGACTTTTCAGGTGGGTTATCTGTCAGCTTCAATAAGGTCTGTTGCAGATGCGAGGGTGGGCGACACAATTACTCATTTTGCAAGAAAAGCGGAGACCTCTCTGCCAGGATATGAGGAGGCTACACCGATGGTGTTTTGTGGTCTTTTTCCTGTTGATGCTGACCAGTACAACCTTTGCTATCTTATTGTCAAAGTTTGTACTTATCATAAGCTTTTTTTTTTAATTCCTTAAAACTAAACCACATTTTTATTGATTTTTTGTAGATTTCCTGAGCTGCGTGATGCGTTGGAAAAACTTCAACTTAATGATGCAGCACTACGGGTGAGTAACTGAAAAATGGAAATCGACATATTTGTTAGGGATAATAATTGAGTTCGCAGGTCTTTTGACTTAGCACTGTTTGAACGTCAATTATACGACTTGTCCTCTATTTGTCCATGGGTATTTGTATGAGTGCTTTGATGGAGTGGTATCAACATTTGTATCTTCTCAGTTCCGTTTAGCAGCTTGGACGACCATTTCCATCTTCTAAGGGTCTGTTTGGGGCAGCTGTAGCTTAATAATAAGCTGTTGCGTAGCGGCTGACTGTTTGTTTGTTTTTTGCGGTTTAAAACAACTGTGCTACAGCTCTTTTTGGACAAAAATCATCATTTTGCCCCTGTATAGTAATATTATTTGCAACAGAACTGTCATACCAGTACATTCTATACTTTAAATACAAATCTTCATTACAAAACAATACAAAATAAATATAGACACTTCACTTAACAGTGAGTATCATGACTACTAAAATTAAGAAAATGACTATTAAAATAACAATTAATAATATAATAATATTATTTTTATGTATCTGTAAGGTTTTAGTGAACTCAGTATATAAAACGAATCTGTCGCTACAAGAAGATATTAGATCTTATAAAAAAAAATGGTTCTTGTCCTTAATCAACATAATACCAAATTCGTGTGTCACATATGCATAACACTAAAAAAAGACCACCCAGAAGAACCTCAAAAGAAAGAGAACTTGGTTGTCTTCATTAGAATTTCACATGTGACACCAACCAATGACGACATACAGACCATCTAGAAGAACCTATAAGGTCTAACGTTTTATCATAAGCCTCTAAAAACTACAAAAATAAACAGAAATGCAAAGAAAAAAACACATACAAATTGTGTAAAAACCCAAAATAGTAAATATCAAATGTATAAGGAACATAAATAAACATTAACTATATAAAATACTGATACAATAAGTAGTAAATTTTTTTAACAACCATTACAATTAATAATATGATAAAACTAACATTCCCTCCAATCACCCTCCAACTATCGCATTCGTAATTAATTTGCCAACTCTACTATCTCGCTCGCAACTTCTCCGTTTTTAGTGCAGTTCTCGGGAACATCATTTTTGGTCTGTGACAAAGACTGACCAAGGCGGTACTCATATGCCTCGGCAGGGATATGTTCATTATCCTCGTCCGTCCTACAAAAATTGATGTTGTTGCGGGAAGGATGCCTCCGAATATAATTGTGAAGATTAATCTTGACAATCACAATCTCCACCTGTTTGGGAATCAGGTAAGATGACATATTGCGAAGTATAACTCATTTTTACTTTCAAACACCAAAAGTCTTCTCAATAACACCGTAAGGATGAATATCTTTTGTTAAACATTTCTTTCTTACTCCGCGCGACATTGCTGACTCGCTCAAAATTAGGTAGTTGGTATCTCGTATCAAGATATGACTTGAGATACCCTCGCTGCTACAGATACCCAACATCGACCAAATAATATTTACCTGATGCGAATTGAATGAAAATTGTTGAAGGAAAAAAAGAATTATGAGAGTTGTTTAGTCTCAAGCAAACCTGTGGGTAGATGTGGAAAGTTATATTTATTATTCAGTGTTGCAGATTTGAATATCCGCCTGTCATGTGCACTACCCTCTCAACTGGTCATAACAAAAATAAAACATATGTTGAAGTTGCATACCGCAATGACATTTTACATCGGGGATCCACAACGACCGATGAATGTTATCTTCTCATTATTTAGAAGACGTGCACTAATGTGTGTTTCATCGATTCTCCGATACAATTCTAGAAAAATAACGAATGGTTACGTAATTACAATATTTTTATGAAATTTGAATGTAATAAATTGAAGAAATTATCTTAAAGTACAGAATATACCGTGCATCATGCGAAATCTCTGTAGGGGTCCGTTCGAATGTTAGATCTGTTGGTTTTATGATCTTTGAAGAAAGACTGACAAGTACATTCAACTTTACTGAGAAGTATCTCCAAATAGTTTCGGAAGAGTACTGAAATTGCTCCATAACTCCTTAAAATGATTCATTCTATGACAATATGTAGAGGGTTATTGTTAACATCTCTCGCGAAGTCGTTCTAGAAGAGCTATGGAGTTCATGATTTCTGTATGGTTCTTCCAATAATCGGTGAGTACCGCCTATGTCATGTGGTGTATATTACTAAATCACCTGAGGTGATTTATCTCGGCGGTAATCTATTAAACCACCTGAGGTCTGACTCCCCATCGTGGTGAAGAAGTGACAACACTTTAGAGTGTCGGTCATCCTCAGCAGGCAAACGATCAACTCGAAGGAGGTGAGGTCGGTCGTATCAGTCCGATCTTTGTAGGAGTTGAGCGATGGAGCTGTGAACATTTTAGCGGGTTCAACAACAGAGTTCTATTAGGAGAACACATTCTTCTGCTGACGGGAGGTCTCCGTGTGCCCGAGCCTGTCTATCTATCAATGAGGACCCAACACTGTCTTGGTGCCAGTGATCTTTTGCTCTTTATTCAACCAACAAGGCCCTTTGATCGTTGGGTGTCAGTTCTTCCCTAGGGTTTGGTTCCCTTATTCCCGCTGCTACTTCTCTAATGGCTTCTAACATTTGGCCCAACATCTAGTCTTTTAGCTCTTGGATCTGCTGCTACACAAATTCCTAATGCACTCCATGTTCACTGTTTCTCCTTGATGGGCTTCTTCTCCTGGTGCTCCTCTTCTTGTTGGTGGTATGATCCACGCTCACCACACCTTTCTAGCATGTTGAATTCGGATCTATCCTGTGGATCACACCGAAGGAATAAAACATAAAATAGGAGAGAGAGTACACGATAAAAATCTGATTGTTTTAAAGGCGATTTATTAACTCTATATTGTATAAATGAATCAGTGAAAAATTACATGGCTGCCCCCACTTTTATGAGGGCGTTACAGGATATTTTAGCCATATAAAAGTATGGAGAATCTACATTCAACACCCAATTCTTATGCATTTACTTATCTCATATCCAAACTTTAATTTTTACACCTAAAACACCTTTCTCTATGTATACATAGGTTAGGATGCTTAGGGTGTAAACATTGAAGTTTGGGTGCGAGATAAGTAAATCCATAAGAATTGGGTGCTATGTAAATTTTTGACAAAATAAATAAGTCCATGGTTCGACTACCCTATCGCTCAGTCGGTGGAGATTGATAATCCTTAGGTCGAAAAGGTACGTTTGGTCGATTCACTTGAGTTAGGGTGGTCGGTTGGCTCTTGTGATCCTTCGGTCGTTCGAACTTCGCTTGGTCGACTTGAATTAACTGTTTGATTTTTTCGATCTTACTGTCGATTGTTGAGCCTTGAATGAGAAGCCCAAGCTGTTGGGGTGGAACTAAGCTGTTAGGTAGTGGGTGAGTTGTCATAATTTGACAGGTAGTCTCCCACTTTGTCAAGAGATCCATCTAGAGAGTTTAATGAATGTTTAGTGATGAGAATCTTAGATCTCCTGATGTGTCTTTGAGATTCCTGCAAGGTGTCTGGCGATGCTTGAACGAGAGCTAGACCGGTTCCTTCTTTAAGTCTCAATCTTTGACTTGGACGACCTTCGTTCAGTGGGCCCTGAGTCCTACTTTGAGGGAGTTGTAGCTTATCAATGAGATCCTTTGGTCTTTTGCTGATGTGATTTTTGTTCTTTTGATGGGCTATACTTGACCCTAATTTAGTCTTTTAATCTGTTGAATTTCTTCGAGATTGACGCATTTCTAACATACAAGTATCATTTTGAACCACAGAATTAAAGCCATCTTGATTACTGAAGAAACAGCCATGGACCTTAGTGGAAACTTCGAATTATTTGCCTAGTTTTTTTACGAAGTCCTTTTTTTTTCCTTGAAACCATTTTATTTCTATTCCATATGACAAGTCTGGTCTTTCTCATTTCTAGTTTTTCTACAGTATGCAATGGACATTTTAAGAAGTTAATATCTTCGGTTTATTTTGATGAATACCTTTTTTTTATTAACTCTATGGAACATTTTTTTGCATCAAATACCAATGTTGCATTGTCGCAGTTTGAACCTGAAACTTCAAGTGCCATGGGCTTTGGTTTTCGGTGTGGCTTCTTAGGTCTTCTTCATATGGAGATTGTTCAGGTAAGACAATAAAGAAGATGTCCACTTTATTGAAATTATCAATGGCTTTTGATGGTGACTTATAATTCTGTTATGTATGTCATGGTTTTCTTTTGTTTTCTATTTTCCAGGAAAGGCTTGAGAGGGAATATCGCTTGACCTTAATAACAACAGCACCTAGTGTGGTTTACCGTGTCAACTGTGTGAATGGTGATACTGTAAATTTTTTGAGATCCATTCTACAGTTCTTGAATTTTTTTGTATGCGTTATCATTCTCATTTTTTTGGAGTAGATTGCTAATTATTAGTTTCATTTTGTTGTTGAAATTTATTCACAGCAAGAAGAAAAATTATTCTTTCATGCTTAAAATTAATGATGTACTTCAGTTATTTGTCCTTTACATTTTTCCTCTATTGTGCTAATGGCCAGAGCCAAACTGAGTGGCTCTTCTTTCGATTCCTTTCCAATTTTCAGCATATTTCATTTTATCCTTTTATTCCTTTCTAGTCATTTTTTACATATGTTTAGTATTAGGGTTTGGATTTTGAGGATTTTATCATTTCTTCTATTGGAATAGGCTTCGGCGTCTCTGGTTTCTCCTTATAGGGCCGTATCTAAGGGCGAGTGGTGTTCCGGCTGTGTCTCATTCAAAAGTGGTGACTATCCTTGACTATCCCTTCTTCCGCAACCATCCCTCCACTGCCGCGTTTCCGTACCTGTTGCACCAACTCAGGAGAACAGTGCCTCTGATGTTCCTGCAGCCCCCACACCTTCCTGCCGCCCTTGCCAGCCTCCTATCACCTTACTTTCGCCTGCAAACCAACCTACCAGCCTCTTGCTACCCATCTGCCGCTTCCTTGCCTTCCGTATCCCCTACTGCAGCTGCTGGATAGCCCCTATAGCTGTTTCCTGCAGTCCAGTTCGCTCACCTTGCTGTCACCCCCAAACAATAACTACTTCTGTTATCGCTGTCATTCTGCTGTCTTGCCACATGGGCTTGCTGCCATCCCCAAACCAAAACCCCACAATCCCCGTGATGATGCTATTACTGCTTATCGACATCCCTACCACAATTTCAGCCCTTATCATGCCGTCCACACCACGCACCACCGCCTCTGAATCAATCCCTTGTGGGGGCATCTGTGTGTAGTGTCGTTGTTGTTTTCCCTTTTATTTATGTTTGGTTGTAATCACATATTTATTTTCAGTAATAATATTTATTTTTCTATTGTTGTTTAGGTTAACTCTGGTATAACTAATTTTCTGGGAAAAAAAGTAATTCAATAAGCTAGATGAAATCTTAATTCATATTTGGTGGATGAAAGTTATTTAGGAGGGCCATTAAAGAAAGTGACTAATTAGGATGAAAGTTTAAGGATTTGTATGCTTAACAGCTGCGAAGTAGAATGCAAAAACAAATTTATCCACTTAATAACATGATAAAATTTAAATACATGTTCAGTTTTTTGTATTGAGGTTCATTGTGTCCTACTCAAATATGGCCCGGCTATATGAAAAGCCTTCACCAAGGTTAGTTTCCCCAATCATGCACTTAACAATAAATCTTAATGTCTGTCATATTGAAAACCTTTTAATTTGTCACCATTTCTTTTTGGTAGTTTAATAGTTTTAAGACCGGAACCTAGTGCACGTAGGATTTCTTGTAGGTCACCACTTAAACCATTTTTTAAGAACGCAAGGCCTAGTGCATATTCAGATTCATGCTTTCTGGATTAGGCACCAACTTGGTTCACATGTTTTCCAAGCCTGCTAGATAGACTGATGCAGCATGAAGGCATTGGTAATACTCTGATACTAAGTATACAAAATGATTCATATTAGCATTATTTTTAATGCCATAGTACAAGTTGATGTTGGGAACATTGTATAAAATTTTTGTGGGATTCTCGATTTTATTAGGGTTTCTGATTCAATTTTTATGGAAAATTTCATGTTAGCAATCTTTGGAGGGTTTTCATTTTAGGGAGTTTGAGGGAGAGGCGACCACCTTTATTCCTTTGAGCAAATTGTGTGAATTAGTGAGAGAGTGAGAGAGAGAGACTTGGTGGAGAGACCAAACTCATAAGGGGGGGAGATGTGTATCAAGAAAGGCCTTAGCTGAAGGCGAGGGAGTGCAGTCCAATTATATTATTAGGTATGAATGACATTCCAAACCTTAAGGACCAATTTATATAGGAAAAACTTTAAGTTTTATTTACATAATTTCCAGTTAAGTTATTAAAAAATAATTTCTGATATATTAACAAATTTATATTGAATCATAAAATGAAATAAAGTATGTTTAATTACTTGAAGTAGAAAAGAAAAAAAGACTAGTCGGTTAGCTTCTTCGGATAGTGAATTAAATTTGATTGTAGATATAATAATGATGCCATTCGGATGAAGTTTACGCAATAGTGATAATTATGGTGCTAGATCTATCTAAGTGTCTGGATGCAATTGTGGACTAGTAATCTGATGGATTGGTGTTGCAAAATTTTTTAGATGTTCCACTATCAATTCCCATGTGCTATTAAAACTCTCCTTTAAGGGGCTGTTTGGTTGGTAATATTTGTCGTGTACTATAATTCATTTATAGGGATTTGAAAAAATTAAGTGTTTGGTATGAAGAAGTACAAGTACAATGTTAAGTTTCAATAAATTTAAAGTTTACTCCTCAGTTTATTTTGGCTGAATTTAGAATTCGGCCGATTTGATCGAATTTGAATTATACTGTAAATAGCTATTGGCAAATTGTCGCCCGTTGCCACCCCGCATTGCCTGTTTCGGCCGCCGGCCCCCGCCCGTCACCCACCTCCCCCCACACCCGACCTCCTAAGTAAAGTATTATATTTTTTTCAATCTACTTCAAACCAAACAAAAAAATATAAAGTTTTGTGTCTATTTTACAGTATTTCAAACAACAAAAAAGTATTTCAAATATATTTTAATAATAGTACTCCACAAATTTTTTACATTCTACTTAATTTTCAGCGAACCAAACAAACCCCTAAGTAGTTAAATGTTACACATGAGTTCAGCAGTTATCTGATCCTCACATCCCCCAAGCATTCAGCTAGCTCAAACCTTTTGGTCTCAAGGAATCCAACTAAATTATGTCTACCCGCCAAGGATTAGTGGCAAATCATCAGTATGACCCATCAACTTTGAAGAAACTTGGTGTCACCATGTGGTACCCGAGACCTGCCATCCAAAAAGTCATATAATTGTTTAGGAGTAATCATCATTGAGATCATTATTCTAACTGTCCCAAGGTCTTTTTGTTCTATAAAATGGGCTTCAGGGCTTATTTTTATGAAATGCAGATTAAAATTAGATTTTTTTTGCTCTAGTAATTATCACACCCCTTTCAATATATCTTTTAGTTTTTTGTCGGCGTTTAAAAGGGGGAAGCTGCGTTTGGGGGTCGCCCGTAAGAAGCTGTCGGTCTCTCTCCTCGTGTTCTCCACTACTTCGGACTCTACCACTTTCTGCTCTCCCTTTCTCACACAATTCTCTTCTCATTCCCTCTATTATTTTTCTCTTACTTGTGCTTCTTTCTCTTTAGATTGGCACTCCCTTTCTCACACAACTATTTTTTCATTCCCCTCTACCATTCTCCCTCCCGCCTTCTTTACCTCTCTCTCCCCTTGTGAATTCTTTCTGCCAGATTTTATTCCTCTGTTCTCTCTGTTTAGACTTACTTCTTTCTTGTTTGTCTCTCCTTGTCCCTCCTGTTTTCTCCCTGACACATCTCTTGCACATTGTGTAATGCCCAATTTTTTATAAATCGGGTAAAATTTAATTACTTTAAAATAATTTTATGAAATTTTACATTTTCAACTATCAATTTAATTTATAACAGTATGTATAAATTATGGATGTATTGGGAGATATAAAAATATTAAATAAAATATTAATTAAACTTAATTAAATTTCTAATCAATTCTTAATAAATTTCAACCCCTCTACCATTACTCAAGCAACGTTGCAGCATCCCACTTTGCGAAGTATGCAATGGCGGCATGGGGTTTTGATGGTTGAGATTACACATGAGGGAAATAAATGTATAAGGTATTTTGTATATCCCATTCCCCTCCCCGAATTCATTTCCCTCCAAGCTCTCTGTTCGAGTACTATAGCCGAGCAGAACGGGCACGAACAACAAAGAGTTGTGGCTCTCGGGTCGAACTTCTTGGAAGAAATTGGTAAGAGAATCCTCACTTTCATGTTGTTTGGAACATTTATTTCCTTGCAATCTTTTTCCATGATTTGTCGTTAGTTGGGGCTTTTCTGCGTTCCAGTTATTGTAGCTGGAGGCGAAACCAAGAGGCAGCTCTCAGGTAAGGCTATTTAGGGAAATCAAACAACATGAGAGGGTAAGAGGGGGAGCAAAGTGGAAGGAGGAAGGGAGGGAATATAAGAAACCTTTAAGGAGAATTTATATGGGGAAGCCCTTTTAAGGTAAAGATTTGGCAAGGAAATTATGTTTGGGGTTACATTAAAACTTAAGCTAGAATTTCATGAAATTCTAAGGGGATTATGATTTCAGATGATTGGCTCTAAGTGGTGGTGAGCTCGAGGAGAGTTTGAGGTCACTCGTCATATTGCAGCTTCGTTGATTTAGGTGAAATAATTATGTGTTAAATTAAGAAAAATATCTTTCTGTAGTATTTCTACTTGATTTATTAATGCGCTACTTTATTTAGAAATATTTGCATATTATTGAATACTTGTACATGTTATATGAATTTGAGCTTGAACTAACGCTCATGATATTTATGGTTTTACTATTTTTTTAATCTTGTAAACATATTTATTAAATCGTTATTTATAGGTATTTGTATGCTGTTGTATATGCGTATGATACATGATTTGCATTTGATGAATGATTATTATAAGAATTATGTTTGATGAAATATCGTAAGTATTGTGATAGTATGCTATTTCATGAATGCCTGTAGGTATGAATGATAGGGAATAATGAGATTTCCGACTCCTGATATTTAGATAGAGATGAAACTGTTGGTATCAAGAGGTTGTTGATAACTGTTATCACGGGAGGGGTCTAACATTTATCAATAATTAATTTTAGCCGCGGGCCGGGTGACAACTCAATAACATGAAATTAAATAAGTATAGCTAATACCTATGCAATTACTGGTGACATTCTTAAGACAACAGTTAATAATTATAAAATCATTTTGGATATTATTATGATTGTCTATAAATGAATGAAATATATGCTTGTTGCATTTATTATTCTTTAGAGATAATTGAATGAAATTTCCCTTCCAAGAGAACGGATGTTTACGCTAGACGCACGTAAGTCTTCTTCTTTCTTCTTTCTCCCACTTTGCTCGGCTAGGGCACAACTCCCATAAGCAAAGCCTCCTCTTCTCGTTATTTTTCTCCACCGATCGGCTCGGTCACGCACACTAACATTCCTTCCTCTTCTTCCTTTTCCTTCTCCTTCCTTGTCTCCCACTCGCTCTCTTGCTCAGTTCTGTGATTCCAAAATGAGCGAGACACTAGCCTCAAGTGAAACCATCGAGATTGTTATTCAATCCCGCTGATTCAATTTTTTTTTTTAATTTCACTCATTACAATCCCCTCTCCTTATAAAAATTTCTTCATTTAACTTTAAAAAGTTTAATACAAAAACAAGCATGCCTTATCTGGAGAGTTGGGGAAATATTTCTTGTATATCTGAAACTTTCTTTCAAGTAGCGTCCTTCTTTGAGCCATTGCTTCCATAGTAGGCTTAGACTAACCATTGAGATTTGACTTGATCCTTGTTTATCAATCCATTTTTCCTCATGCATAATCATAGTGGCACAGTTACATCATAAAATTGAATGTTATTTCTGATGAATCTTGATAATAAATTGGAGCCTAGAGGACCCCATTTCTCATTACCGTCTAGAACTTGAGAAATTAAATGAGGAAAACTCTCTTATTGGACTGATCATATTATGCAAAATTTTAGATATTTGTCTTATTTTTATTATGTTTTTGCTTAAAATGTAATTGGTCGTCTATCATCCATATGTACATGCACATGTATGCTCTATTGAATGGTGCCACTAGTTATGAGAGCTCGAGAAGCTTATTGAAAAATTAATTAGTTCTTCCTTGTAAAGTGCAATATCATAATTTAAATTGTCTAAATTATTGAGTGACGGCGAGGATTTTAATTATTTACAGACTTTTTATATGCAGATTGAATGCTCAAACCCATCTTTACTTCCAGAGCCAGGAAAGAGAACATCAATTGAAGAGCCAATTGTGAAGGTTAATTTTTCAGGATATTTTCATCTTTTTTAGACGTTGACTTATGTTTCTAAATATGGTGATCACAACATGCATATTGACCACAATCATGGTGTAGATTGAAATGATTACGCCTAAAGATTACATTGGCCCTCTCATGGAGCTTGGTCAGGAAAGAAGAGGTGTTTTCAAAGAAATGAACTACATAACCGAGGGAAGAGCATCTATTGTTTACGAGTTACCATTAGCAGAGGCAATACTTTAGCAAACTTTTGACTTCTTGTCATTACTATATACTTGTGAAAGATCTATATTCCTTTGTATGTATATTTTTATCTGTGTGCATCCTTAAAGTTATCAACATATTGGCTAAATATTTTTATCTACAGATGGTTGGTGACTTCTTTGACCAGCTGAAGTCTAGAAGCAAGGGATATGCTAGTATGGAATACTCTTTTGTCGGGTATAAAAGTACATGAAAGTCTTTTTTTTCTTTTTGCATGTTATCCGTGATTTTTTGTATTAAAAAACAATCAGTCAGTTCTGACAGTTTGTAAATTTCGTGAATAGATACAGCATGAACAATTGGACTAATAAGATGTTCAGTTTATTTGAACTGTTAATCAATAAAGTACTAACATAAAAAATTCTGTTGCAGCTAGAGTTATATGAAACTTGCAAAATTTTATATATGTCATTGGCACAAAATAATTGAATGAACCTGTCTTAGTGTTGCTTTTAAGTGTCCTGTGTTAATTGTGCTCTATGGAAAGGTGTGGTGTTATTAATTCATCCTTAAAATTAATATTGTTGGCTAGTATGCATTTATTATCAACAGAAATAATGCTATTATGAATTAGTAGTCTAGAATCTTGATTGCATAACATCTTCACCATCTATCAATACATCATGACTTCAGATATTATTAAGGTAGTATGATTGATAGACTATTTGTGTTAATCATCGTTAGCCTTATCTCGATGGACTCATCTATTTGAAAAAATATTCCGTCCAGACATCCGCGGCCATGTCGCCAGCCGTTAACGTGTATGGTGTTGTAACCGCCGGTGGTTGACCATTCGGACGTGCAGTGTCTGGACGGAATATTTTCTCCATCTATTTGAGGCTGGGTCTATGAATTCTTTCTTGTTTTTTTTTTGTGTGGTATGAGGTTTTAACTATCCTTCACGTTTGAGTAACACTTTGTATTACATCATTGATGTGGGAGCTTTTCGCTTCCACGGGATTCCACGGAATAGATAGGATCCTACGATCTCATTGAATTTTAGAACAAGAAATTGTGGATTTCTGCGATCGCATGAGAGTTGTGTGCCCATGATACCATCTCATTACCTATTTCAACCCAATTTCTATCATTTGGATTTTTTCGCTATTTCTTGTCTCTAATTAGGTAATTTTCTTTTGCGAAACTTTTATATATTTTATATTCTGGTTGTTTTAGGATTTTAGCTATTGTTTTTTGTGTTTTGGAGACGTTTCTCTTATTTATACTCTACAGATTGTTTTATTATCTTTCTTTTGCAAGTGGTGTGCATGTGCCTTGCTTAGGAACTGGCGGTGGAACTTTCTCACCTTTTGGCTATTTGACCAATGTTCTCAATACTGACAGTCATTGGACGCCTGACTGGACGCCACTTATATCCTTCCAAATGCCATTAGACTCGTGTATTATCATAGCATTGCTATCCAACAGCCATTTCCCTGTTGAATTTATGACGATCTCGCCCGGGGATTGGAATTAACCAAGACCGATACAGATGGTCGGACGGAGGAGGTTAATATTTTTTTTCATATTTCTTTTCAAACTTAGTTATTTAACCAATGAAAGTGTCACTAATTAAATTAATTTAAAGAAATATATTTAAAATTACCTCGTTAATCGTTGATTGTTTAATTAGCCTGAAAATTTAATTTAAAATAATAATAAGCTAAATAGGTTAGTGAATATTTATGCTCTTAAACGGTAGTAATATAAAGAAAAAGAAAGCAAAATTCATGTTAGTTAACTTTTAATAGATCAATATAAACATTTAACATGTTATTTGATAAATTATTATATTAATATCATTTCAATATCATTATATATTTGTACAACTGTCACAGGAGTACCGTATAAAAGCTTTGTGTCATTTAAGACACATCAATATCAATTTCCTTTTTCATATACATGCACGAGTATTTTAGTGTTCCTTTACTAGTACCATTAAGGGTGACTCCATCATAGCCAGTCATGCACATACAAACAATCCACATGTACATATCATTCATATGTTCATCACATTCAATTCAAAATACTATAATGTATGATCATAAGTAGCTACTAACATTCATAATATATGACTGATAAAGAAAAAATCTTAATCAGAATAAAGCATTTATAAGTGTCATTAACTGCAAAATAATTGAGAAAAAATAAATTATTACTATAGATTAAATATACGAGCACTCATCTCGATGTCAATTAAATTATTATTTGACTTGTCTGAACGTTAACTCTTTTAAATTTGAAAGCCTAAAATAAACGTGATAAACATTATATACATGTATATACATATATATGTATATACAGATATGTATATACATGTATATGTATATACATGTATATACATATATATGTATATATATGTATATAAGTCTAAAGGCAAATATATTCATAAATGGAAAGGTACAAATAGTTTGGATGACAGAACCCAAATTGACACCCTAACCACCCGACCTCTAACACACACGTAGAAATACATGTATATAAAAAAAAAAAAGATTAAAAAGTAGACAGAAAAAAGCACGCCAATAGTCTGCCTACACTCGCAAATTCGGTTAGCATACGAAAGATCCAATTAGCATTGTCTTTGCCTCTGGTTCTACGACGGGAGCTAGCTAATAAATTGTTAAGTTTACTGTCATTACGCGAAACAACTAATGTATCACCCATCAAGTTTGGTAATAGGTCTTTATTCTTCTTCCTCTTTCTGGTTGTATAAACCTGTCAATCCTCATCCGAGGATTGACTCATCTGATGAGCAGATTGGTCCAGAGGTGGTCGGAAAGTTGTAGGTTGTTGCACATCATGAGCCCATATATATATATCTATACATATATGTATATATATATATGTACATATATATATATATATGTATACATATATGTATATATATATATATATACATATATATATATATATGTATACATATAT